ATATGGAAGATGTAGGTTATTCTTCAATAAATATATTATGTTTGGTCCTAATATCAACTTACATTTCGTCTTTCCATCTGTAAGACTAAGCAGTACACCGAAACACAGCAAGAGCACAATCATTTTGCCTTGATGGTAATGCATTGTCGCAATTTATTACAATTTATTTACTAGGACTGTTTAATCAATGTAACGGTTGATGTTATGCCAATTTACTTAAAATCCTCCTCTGCTACCATTAAAGTCATAAAAATGGCGCATGGAGAGATTTTGTTTCTCTAAGTTTCACTTCAAAAAAGTATTTCAAAGTGAAAATAGCATTTGGCTTGAAATTAACACTCGAAATACAAAATCACAACAGAATATTGATTCATATTATTTTTGCTTCTGTTATATAAAACCATACGTAAGTAAGGCAAAATCGGAAGAAGTATTTTCTAATTTAGAAAATGAAATTGCAAACTATAGAAGCAAAGGAGAAATTTTTGTTTGTGGAGATTTTAATGCTCGTACAGGGGGGCTGCAAGATTTTATACAACATGACACACTGAATGATACATTTTTGGATTGTCCTCTACCAGAATACATATATGAACCTGACATTTCAGTGAACAGAAACCAACTTGATAAGACATCAGATTTACATGGACACCTAATTACAGATATTTGCAAAACATATAGATTATCCATCCTGAATGGAAGATTTCTTGGTGACTCACTTGGCCATTTTACATTTTTTAATTCTAATGGTTCAAGCACTGTTGACTATATGTTGGCATCAAGTCAGTTGTATCATAAAATTGAACATTTTAATGTATAACCTCCTACAGAAATATCAGATCATTGCCTTATAACTGCAAGTATTAATATGAACACATATGTGTTTTGCAATGAAAAATATAAAATGCACTCTTTGAAGGGGAAATATCTCTGGTCAAGCACTTGTAAAAACCAATATGCAGAAGCTATTAATGAGGAAGAAACTAAAAATCAAATACTATTGTTGGATAATTTACTTGACCAAATATATGATGATAACACATATGATTCAAATGATCTTGTTTATAAACTATCAAGTATTATAATTAATGCAGCTAATAAAAGTGTTCCATTTAAACCTGCAAAATTTACAAAATCACAACGAAAAAATAAACGAAGACCAAAATGGATGACTACAGATTGCTTACTCCTACGAAAAGAAGTTAGAAATTTAGGGAAGAAAGTACACAAATATCGAAACAACTGTGAACTAAAACATGCCTTTGCAAAATGTAGAAAAGATTATAATAAACTAAGAAAAAGTCTTAAATCTAATTTTTACAATAGTATTGCAGAAGAAATTAACACGCTTTCGCCACAAAACTCCAGTAAATTTTGGAATAAGATAAAAGAAAATAAATCAAAGAAAACTAATGCAGAAACAATTGGAATTTAAGAATTCGTTGACCACTACAAATCCTTACTGAACATTCAATATACTGATGAAGAGAGCTTGAAATACAAGTACACTGAACTAAATACTGAACCGAATCCATTAGACTTTTTGTTTACTCAAGATGAAATAGAACAAAGCATTTTAAAGCTGAAAAAAAAGTGGTAAAAGTGCTGGGCCTGACTTAATTTTAAATGAGTTTATTAAAACAAACAATACTACCCTTTTACCTGTCCTTACAAAACTGTTTAATATTCTACTTAAAAATGGAAAAATGCCCAAAGAATGGAACCTTTCACTTATAACATCATTATACAAAAATGGTGACCCTAATAATACAAACAATTAAAGGGGTCTCAGTGTTACAAGTTGTTTAGGAAAACTTTTTACAGGCCTTCTACAGAAACGCTTAGATAATTATCTTGAGTCAAATAACATACTAAGTCAATATCAATCTGGATTTAGAAAAGGTCATAGGACCACTGACAATATATTTGTACTAAAAACACTTGTAAACAAATATCTTTATACAAAGAAACAGAATTTATATGTGTGCTTTGTAGATTTTTCAAAAGCATTTGATACTGTGTGGAGATCTGCACTTTTATACAAATTGAATAAAAAGGGTATTGGTGGTAACTTTCTCAAACTTTTGACAGACATGTATACAAATACATACTATTCTTGTAAAAAGGACAATCAAATAAGTGAAAAATTTAAAGCTAATAGAGGAGTCAAACAAGGTGATAATTTAAGTCCAACACTTTTCAATATCTTTGTCGATGATTTTGTGAATTATCTTAAAAATGTAAGCACATATCCTGCATATCTAGATACTATGCCAATAAATCATATGTTTTTTGCTGATGATCTTGTCCTTGTATCAGAATCAGAAGTTGGTCTACAAAACTGTATAGATGTTTTAGGAAAATATTGTTCAGACTGGAAATTGTGTGTTAATATGGATAAAACAGATGTTATGATTTTTTCAAGAAAAACAGATGATGAAACATCATTTAGATTTTATTACAATCACCAAATGATTAACATAACGAATGAATATAAATATTTGGGTGTTGTGTTCAGATCTGATGGAAAAATGAAATTTGCAGCTGAACAACTATCAGAACGTGCTAGGAAAGCATATTATGCTATTAAATCAAATTTTCCTGCAAACATTAATTTTTCAGCTGAAATTATGTTAAAATTATACCAGTCAATGATAATACCATTATTACATATGGATCTGAAGTATGGATAACTGACTTCAAATGTGATTTAATGTCTTCAGACCAATTTCCTTTTGAAAAAACACAACACTTAATATTTAAAGACATACTAGGGGTACATAGAAAGGCATCAAATCTTGCTGTTTTATGTGAATTGGGTCGTTTTCCTTTGTATTATTTATGTTATGAATATATGTTTAAATATTTTAAGAGACTTAAGGAAATGGAAAACAAACATGATTATAATAATTATTTAGTGATTTCTGCATTTAAAGAAGACAAAAAACTTGTATCTAGAATATCTTGGCAAAGAAAACTGTCTTCTTTACTACAAAAATTAAATATCACTTCTTTGGATATTTCTCACACAACCTTGAAAAACAAATTACAAGAGCATTACCAAAACAAGATACATGAACAACTGAAAAATATAAGCAAATCAAACTCTGGAAAGTTAGCTTTTTATAGTAAAATTGTAATTCAAAATGAATACAAATTGCAAAGTTATTTAAAGCTGCCTTTAAAGAAAAGTTTTAGATCTGTATTAACAAAATTAAGGATCAGTGCCCATCCATTGTATATTGAAACGGGCAGATACTGTAAACCCCCTATTCCTAGAGAAAAACGTTTATGCTATTCATGTAAATTATTTATTGAAGATGAAAAACATTTTGTTCTATACTGTTCAAAGTATGACCAATTTAGATGCAATTATACTGATATATTTAATGTAAACACATATACTAGTGATAATCCCATTAGAAAAATTGTCAATCCTACAAATATTACAACTGCTAGAAGGATATGTTGTTTTTTGAAAAAGTGCTTTGACACCAGAAAAGAAAGTCAGCAATGAATACTTAGAAATATGTGAATATACTCTACATTATTTTGTTCAACTCAAATTTGTCACTTTGTATATGTATGTATTATTCTTGTTAATTCGTTTTATGTCATGACTGTATGCCGACATGGTAATTGTCAATAAAGTGAATTGAATTGAATGGAATTGAAGTAAATAAAGCGGTGCAATACTCTACATGAAAATGAATTATTACTTTACAACAGATGATTCGTTGTTGGCACATTCATGTACATAATTTTAACGTTAAGATCAACTGCAATTTTAAAAGATACTTTTAAATAACTTATTTTCATGGGGTTTAATTTTGTTGATTTCGAGGTATGGAGAGACTCAAGAATGCATATCCACTACGAAATTCAACATTTCATATATATATATATATATATATATATATATATATATATATATATATATATATATATATATATATATATATATATATATATATATAACTACATTGTACTTTTTAATTCTTTATCTACGAAATTAAATCCGAACGAACCCATATTTTTTCCTCAAACCATAAAAATTTGACCCCACGAAAGTATGTGATTTTACAGTACACTAATTTTCATGCATGAAGAGAAAAGGAGTAAATTAAAAAATATGAAGTAAGTTTCAAGATATATTCATTTTATAAGATTTTTGAAATATCTGTTGTAAATGAGCTTACATGTAACACGCTATTTTGACTACTCTATGTAAGTCAATCTCTTTTAATACATTTTATGTAGTTGTATATCTTGAATTCTATGAACATTCAGAATGATGCATAGACTTGTGTACCTGTGCATCTACCTATTTTTCTTCGAATAGGCACATTATTCTAAAAGTTTTTTTTTTTCAAGGATTTTGTTTTTTTCATTGCGTGCACGTGATGTACGAGGGTTGTTAGAAAAGTTCGCAGGCACGTTGATTTACGGAAAATATATTGTAAACTTTGAAGAATAACGTATATCTATTTAAATTCTTATCTTTTCTGTATCAGTATGCAAAAGATCAGGTCCATTTACTAAAATTTGGAAAATAAACAATGATTTTTACTGCGCGGTCATAGGATTCACGGAGCAATCACTTGACGTTTTATGACGTTAGGTGACATGACAACCTGTTTTCAGATTTGTGAAGCTTTTTCACAGTTCTAAATATCTTTCATTTCTATTGACTTTTCATGTCTTTTTCTGACTTAAAATTTGAAAAAGTTTACCAAGACATGTTGTATTTTTTAAAAATGTCTTTTGTGGCGTATCGGATCTTTAAACCAATGTCTACGCAATTCAGTGATCAGGTATGAGAAACAATGCAAAATCCATAGGCGCAAAGTTTATGCGATGAGCAGGATATTGGGCTATCGCAGGAGTTGATAATCAAAAATGTCCACCCATCCATTCTTACAAAGTTGCTACCTTTTGTACACTTTGGTACTGGATACCTGTAAACCATCCCCAGCAGCATCTAAAAATATCTTAATCCGGCATTTTCCTGTCCGCACACAATTTTTTTTTAATAGGTAGGTGCTCCAAAACGTCCAGTGAAGTTACCATTTTTGGCTTTGTTTTTACGCATTGATCATCTATAATTAGCGATAAAACAGTCATATCTCCTCCAATTTTATTCAAAATTTCGCCAAATGGCGTTTCAT